TGTTTTCTCCTTCACAGATGCTGCCAGACCTACTGAGCTTTTCCAGCAACTTTGTTTTTGTTCCCGATTTACAGCATCCGCAGTTCTTTTGGTTTTTTATTTAGTATTCATCTCTAATTCACCTCTGATCATTCCTAAGCTTTGCTAGCCAACATCCCAGCTCCCGCCCTCCATTATCTCGAGGTCCAAAACTCTGCTGTGTGTATCCTAACTTTCACCATCCCAAACATTCATCACCACTCTCCTCAATGACCCACACCAGCTCCCGGCCCCTCAAAGGCTCAGCTTTTAAACTCCCTGCTTCACTTTCAAACCCCCCACAGCTGGACCTATCTCTTAAACCTCATCTGGTCCTACAATGCTCTGAGATGGAATCATTCAATACAGAAGAGACCCTTCAGCCCATCAAGTCTGTACCGCGAAAGCTACACTAATCCAACTTTCCGGCACTAGGCCCATAGCTTTAAACGTATATTTCAAGAAATCTCTACCCTCCTCCTATTCTGGCCTTGATTAAAATCCCTGATTGCAATTGGACCACCGCTGGTGACAGTCCCTTCAGCCAGCATTGCAACTGAAATTCCCTCTGTCAGTCAATCTCTCCACCACTCTTTCCTCCATTAAGACACTCCTGAAAACCATCCACTCCTCGACCAAACTTCTGGTCACCTGGCCTAAGATCTCATGTGACCCGGGGTCAAATTCTGCTTAAATCATTTTTGTGAAGCTTCTGGGGCTTTTACAACCTTGAGGATGCTGAATAAATACAAGCTGGCACTTGAACTTTCTGTCTGAGGAGCAGCAGGGCTTAAAAGTAAACTCACCTCCACAGGAGCAGCATCTTTTGCTTGTATAACAGTAACTGTTCCGAAAATCAGCTGAGTCAAGTCATTGCTCTCTTCAAATTTCACACATCTGTTTCAGATTTAAGCAGATCCAACAAAGAAAAGCTTTCTAAACAACATACACGTAACCAGATGCACAAGCAAGCCAGCATGCTGTTTTAACCAGGTAGCTATCATATCAAATAGAGTGAAAATAACCAAAACTTCAATCAAATTCTCAGCAGGTTTAAACATCTCCAGTCAGAATTTGCAATGCATATTGCAGGATGTGAAAGAACAGCAAAGGATCACTCCAGCCATTAACAAACACCTAGCTCTTTCTATTTAAAAATAGACCTCCCAAACACTTGCAAAAAAACCAAATTCTGTACATAACGTGCAGAAGACTGATGGGTAGAAAATTATTTTGTCATATGTAGCAGTTGAATAAATGCAAAAGAGAACATTTTTGCATTCAATATCTATCAGAACATAAATAGTGCAATGATCAGATGACACAAAGCAACGTTGGACAAGTGTAATGAATGCACATTAACTCCTAAATTGAAAAGCTAAATCCCTCTCTCTGTTTCATACTAAACACAAGCCATTGATAAATAAAGGGTAAACACAATACATTTTAATTTGTCTTTCACAACATGTCCAGCTTCTCTGTGTTGACACTGACCGTAACTGATGGCGAGACTCCACCAAGTAACATAAAAACTTCTGACCGCAGAGGTCAATGGTAATAAATACTTTTGAGGCTTGAGAATTTTTTTCCCTGTGAAAACATAAGTTAATACTGCAGGTTTAGGCAATGGAGGCACATCATAGAGTCATACAGCATGGAAACAGGCCCTTCAGCCCAACCAGTCCACACCGACAATGTTTCCAAATTAAACTAGACCCACCAGCCTGTGCTTGGCCCATATCCCTCTGAACCTTTCATATTCATGAACTTAATCTAATTGTCTTTTAAACATTGTAACTACACTTACTTCCACCACTTTCTCTGGCAGTTTATTCCACACATGAACCACTCTCTGTGTAAAAAACAAAAAGAGTAGCCCCTCATGTCCGTTCGAAATCTTTCTCCTCTCATTTTAAACTTGTGCCCTGCTCCTTTTGAACTCCCCCACCCTAGCGAAAAGACCCTTGCTATTCACCTCAACTGTGTCCCTAATGATTTTATAAACCACTACAAGGTCAGCCCTCAACCTCCTAAGCTGCAGTGAAAAAGGTCCCAGTCTTTCCAGTTTTTTTTTATAACTCCAACCTTCCTTCTAGGCAACATCCTGGTAAATCTTTTCTGAACCCTCTCCAGTTTAGTAATATCGTTCCTATAACTGGGCGACCAGAACTGGACACAATATTCCAGAAGTGGCCTCACCAATGTCCTGTACAAACTCGACATAACATGTACTACACCAGCTTGGTCTTCTGACACAGCTTACTCTTCTACTGTTCTGATGAGGAGTTCACTTACAAATTGTTAATTTAGAATGAGGTGGGGGGGGTGTTGGAATCTCATACAAAACTATAAAATTTAACAAGACTAGACAAGGGCCTGTTTCTGTGCTGTAATTTTCTTTGTTCTTTGTAGACGAGGTAAAAGCAGGGAAGTTGCTCCTGATGACAGCAGAGTTTAGAACCAGGGGTCACTGGCTAGGGATATGGGATAGACCATTTACGACTGACATTCCTAATAAGTACCCTTGGGAAAAAAAGACAAATAATTTTTTGAGGATAACATGTTTGAGATAGTGGTGATTGATTAGTGCATCATGAGTCGTATCACTCTCCTCTACAGTTTGAATATTACAACATTGGAGAAGAAATGGTGTAGAGGAGAGAAAAACTACATACAGAGCAGCTGCAACTCATTGGTAGACATTTTAAATCCAAGTTAGGACAGATGTGGTTCACAGTGTAGATACTACAGGAGAAAATCTCAGCTGACTCTTCAGCGAACTGCTCAGCAAAACGGTGCACTGTCAGAGATGGCTCTTTTTCTTGACAGCCCAGTAAGTTTGTTCAAATGGAGCACTGTTCTCTCCTAACACAAAGTTACCGATCTCACTCAGGACAAGTAAACAGCGTAGGCCGTCAGGCAGATTGATTACTGAGGTTGAATGCTAGCAGCTGCAAAGAAACATACCCAAACGTTCTTACAGTAGGTTACCGAGAGTCACAGGAGCTCATCCCAATCCCTGGCTTATTAACAGACTCAGTCCGTCAAGCAACATCATAACAGATATAAATGATCCCATTGTAGTGCAAGAGAAAAGCAGCGCAGCTCCCCACTGTCCTGGCCAATATCTGGCCCTCATCCAATACCACTAAAAAAAAACAAACTGATCACTTCTCTCTCTTGTTTGTGGGATCTGCCACACATAAACTAGCTGTCGTTGTTTTATCTATTTATCCGTGCACCAAAAATCATTCACAGACCACAAAGCACTCAGCAACATCCTGAAAACACACATGGTGTTTCTGCGCAAGCAATTCTATTCTCCCAGATTGACCACATCTCTGAACGTTACCTTAGACGGATGGGAAAAGCCTCAACAAAAATCCTCGACTCACCTCACGTTGTGCACACTTTCTGTCCACAAGTGATCGAGGCACAGCTCCGGAATGACCGGCTCTGTCTCGGGCACCAGTAAGGAGTCACTCAGAGTGCTGTTCGGGGAGTGGGAATTCCGGCTCTGCTTCGGAGACGGGGTGTAAGTTGATAAGTTGAATCTCTGCACGCCAGAAAACGACGATGCTCCCAGAGACGGGGAATGAGAACGACTGAAAGAGAGAGAAAAAAAAAAAGGAACAAAATTCGTTGTGCCTGGATGATAGGTTGGGGTGGGAAGGAGGAAATACAGGGGGAGAAAACGATCTGGCAATGTGCTTCCGACACGCATAATAAATAATGCTCAAGCTGCTGATTCGGAGCATCAATGCTGGAAGTAAAGGAGAAGGAATCTATGCTTTACTCATTAGCACCCCCTTCAAAAAGTTACTTTTCTATCAATATGCCTCAACAGGAATGCAGTGCCACACAACTCACCTCGAGCAGGAGAGGCCAAAAGGTCTACTTGTGCTCCTATTTTGTATGTTCTACAATGTAGCATTTTTAGATGCATTTGAAACCTCGTGTGCTGACACTCTCCTGCCTCGGGTTTTTGACACCGCCCTCCGCTAAATTCCACGTTGAGCACACTTTCTGCCTGCAAGTGATCGAGAAACAGCTCCAGAATCTGACAAATGCTCAGTCTCAGCATTTTGGTACAACAAACAAGGGTAGGACTTATACAATTAAAGGTAGGGCCTTGGGTAGTGTTGTAGAACAGAGGGACTTAGGGGTGCAGGTACATAATTCTTTAAAGTTTGCACCTCATATAGATAGGATGGTTGAAAAGGCATTTGGCACACTTGCCTTCATTGCTCAGTCCTTTGAATGTAGGAATTGGGACGTTATGTTGAGATTGTACAGGACACTGGTCAGGCCTCTTCTGGAATACTGTGTCCAGTTCTGGTCGCCCAGTTACAGAAAGGATATCATCAAGCTGGAGAGGGTTCAGAAAAGATTTACCAGGATGTTGTCGGGTATGGAAGTTTTGAGTTATAAAGAAAGGCTGGATAGGCTGGGACTTTTTTTACCTAGAGCATAGGAGTATGACAGGCGATCTGAAAGAAGTTTATAAAATAATGGAGGTATAGATAGAGTTGATCGTAGTCGTCTTTTCCCTAAGATGGGGAATGTCAAGACCGGGGACACATTTTTAAGGTGAGAGGAGAGAGATTTTAAAAAGACACAAGGCAAATTTTATACGCAGAGGGTAGTTCGCGTGTGGAATGAACTTCCTGAGGCAGTGGTGGATGCATGTACAATTACAAGACATTTAAAAGACGTTTGGATGGATATATGAGTAGGAAAAGTTTGGAGAGATATGTGCCAGGAGCATGGCAGTGGAACTAGTTTAGTTTGGGATTACGTCCAGCATGGACTGGTTGGACCGAAGGGTCTGTTTCCATGCTGTATGACTCTATGATTCTACGACACCCACTGGTTCCCTTTTATGCACAGCACACAGTACTTCCTCAAAGAACTTCAATGGACTGGTTAAATTTATTTGGACTGGAGGGTTTCAGTTATGAAGACATATTGGGCCCACTGTTTTCCTCAGAGCAGAGGAGACTGAGAAGGAACACAAAGGACAAAAGGAAGGAACTTTTCCCCTTGGTGGAGGGTCAATTACCAGGGGCATCTGCCTGACAAGTTAGTAGAGGCAGGAACCCTTGTAACATTTAAGAAGTATTTAGATCTACACATGTGATGTCACGGCATACAAGGTTATGACACAAGTGTTGGAAAATAGGATTTGAATTAATTAGATGCTTGTTTTTGATCAGTGCAGTCTCAATGGGCTGGAGGGCGTTTTTACTGAGCTGTAGCTATATATGACTCGATGACTGCCCTTTGTTCAAACCATATTGACTCTGATTCTGCCTGATTATCTTGATCTTGTCCGAGTGACCTGCTATGTTCTCTTTAATAACAGCTTCTAACGGCTTTCTTCTGACAGAGGTTAATGTAATTCGCCTGTAGTAAAGGAAGAGTCTGGCAGAGGGCGCTATGTCTGCAAGCTGGTAGGAAACAGCAACTGTGTCACTTCAACACAATCTCAGATTGTGGGATCTCCTGAAGGGCAGTGAGCTTGGGGAGAGTGAGGAGAGGAGATATTAACAAGATCAGCTCAGATTAGAAATAAATAAAATGGGTTAAATTGGGCGAGAAAGAAGGGAGGCTATACTACAAAGACATCCAATAGCAGAAATCATCTTCCAAGCTTCTTATTTGGCATGAAATTTAGGACAGGTCAGACATTCATCAAAAGAAAACCCAATCCTAACGAAATAAGAGACAGACAGAGCTGAGCTTAATTTGTTTTATATGTCTTACTTGGAAACTGACAGATGTAAGGTTCTGATTTCTAGGTTTTCTTCAGGCAATGCACCAAGGTCTTGAACAGAAATTTAAACGTTATTTGTCCACTTCAATGTTACAGGATTTACATGCTGTCTCTCAAGCATGCCAGAGGTTGACTAGCCAATAACATAGGAAATTCCTGGAATTCTCAAAATTACAATTGGTTGAGGAAAGACGAAATCCCAAAAAGTCTTTGCTTGTAAGTAGACAATAAGGAGAACGAAATCAACATTTAAAGAAAAAGGAAGAGCACGGAAAAGTGAGAGTAAACAGATAGCAGAATGGAGGTGAAATGTTTTCAGAGAATCATAGAACCCCTACAGTATGAAAGTAGGCCATTTGGCCCATTGAGTCAACACCAACTCTCCGAAGAGCATCTCACCCAGGCCCACCCCCTACCCTATCCCTGTAACCCTGTATTTCCCATGGCTAACCCACCGAGCCTGCACATCCCTGGACACTATGGGGCAATGTAGCATGGCCAGTCCACCTAGCCTGCACATCTTTGGACTGTGGGAGGAAACCCACACAGACACAGGGAGAATGTGCAAACTCCACACAGTCGCCCAAGGGTAGAATCAAACCCAGGTCCCTGGCACTGTGAAGCAGCAGCGCTGACCACTGAACCACCGTGCCACCCTGATTTTAGGTCGACCAGTTAATAATCAGAGCACAGCCTGAAGATATCACTGGAATTTTTCTGAGAGATTGGTTCAAGTCTGGTTGAAGTACACATGCAGCAAGAGGAGAAAATAGCTCCAGGAGAAAAAAAAAGTGTAAACGAAAGATGAAACAGAAGGGAAACAATATCCTGTCAAAGGCTCCATGTTTACATAATTTGGAAAGTCAAAATAAACCAATATTATATCTCGATGTATATATGGCGAAAAGAGAGAGATGTTGCTGAAACTTTCCAGATTGCACTTGTGAAGACAAATGCAAGAATGCCATATTTCAAACAAGCACTAGAACCTATTCCTGTTGGAGATAAGGGTGCTGACTGGTTGATAAATTCAATTTGATTGGCCAAAGAGAGATGCACTGGGGAACTATATGCTCACCAAACTTCTCAGCAATTCAAACAAAGGCTGAAATATAATCAGAGATAGTAGGAACTGCAGATGCTGG